CCTCGTGGGGAGCTCTCTGACCAGTACTGTAGTGACCAGCTCTCTCTCTCTCTCTCTCTCTCTCTCTCTCTCTCTCTCTCTCTCTCTCTCTCTCTCTGAGCAGTGTGCCCCCTGCGGCAGCTCGCCGTAATTACGTGGCAAAAGAATTGCACTCGGCACGGGGTGGAAGTGGCTATGGACGGCCGCGATCAACAACATGCTCCTCTGGTCGTCCTTCTCCGCGAGTGGGGAGGAGAAGGGGTGAGCCGAAGAGCATAACTCTTATTCTTACTGTCCGTGCGACATCGAAATCACGCGTTGGATTGCCCGCTGATTAACAGATTTTTCATAAATGTGAACCTTCTGTTTCCAAATTTATTCTAATATTTACAAGGTGTAACAAATGCTTAAAAATACACTGATCTTAGACTTTAAGTAGTAGCCGGCTGCCCTAACTCCAGCAGACACACACCGGGCCGACGCACGCCCCGTTATTCCCCTGGTTGTTGCAGTTTCTACGGCAATTGTCTACCTTGCACTTTCACCGGTCATCCCGAGGGGGCCACCACATCGATTGAGGATGTACACAGGATTACGTGATTACAGGGATTACACGTAAATTTTGAGTGATTACACGTGAATTTTGTTGAATTCCAAGCTCTAAAACCATCAAATTTGGACAAAAAGGTAAAATTTAGTGAAAATGTTTTAAAATTTGGTCAAGGATTACACGGAATAGGTAAGGGTTACGTAGGGATTACACCGTCATCTGTACACAGGATTACGCGAGTGGTGGCCCTCTCGAGTCATCCCTCGGCACGCTGCCCAGGTCACTGTCATCCTTTAGAAGGGGAGCGCTCTTCTCCTGGGCGACGCTGGAGAGGCCGCCGATGTCCTCGAGCTGAAGCCCACCCAGGCCCTGAAGGCCGCCGAAGCTGTCAACACCAGTGTCCTGGTTCCGCGCGTCGGCCCGGTCACCGTCGACGACGTCACTGTCCTCGTCACTGTACTCGTCACTGTACTCGTCACTGTCCTGGTACTGCGCGTCGTCTGGCTGACCAAGGAGGAGCCTGTCGGCATCCGGGTGGTCGTCGAGCCTCTGCAGGCCGTCGAGTCCCAGCAGGCCGCCGAGCCCCTCACCGCCGTCTGTGTGAGAAACACAATCACTTTGAGGTCCAACATGCGTGCACGAGCGCCATCGTGCTGATCAACACGAATAGCTTGCTCCACTCCGTTACCAATGCTCACTCACCGCGACTCCCGGGCCAAGGTAAGGCCAGGGTGGCTCCGCTCGCGGCCAGCACGACGAAGAGGACCGCGGTGATACTCATGTTGAGGCGTGGCGTGCACTGCGGAGACCGTTGGACCCTGGTGGCGTATTTATAATCCCCAAGGATGAGCCTTATCGGAGACAGGTTTCGTCATGTGAAATGTGAGTGAATGGTTTAAAGATGGCCGTCCGGGTGTTCGTCGCTACGCCCAACTTGGCGATACAGTAGAACCCCGATATCTGTCAGGAAAAGTGGCGTGGGCAGCCTGCCGGTGCAGCGGCCAGCGGCGGCCAGCTAACGCACCTGTTGTGTTTCGGCACTGCATGCCCCCCCCCACTTCCCCTAGACCCCCGCCGTCGTCTGCTGGTCCCCTCGGCTTGCGCATCCCACATCCAGCGAGAGACGAACGCAGAATTCTATCTTCCTCGTCGTGGTCTTCTGCAGATATGTCGAGCAAACTGTGCTGTAATGTTTTCTGCTTAGGTTAGGTCCGCATGTAAAAGTTATCAACCAAACGACCGTTCAGTTTCAGAGTGTGGCTTCCCTCTTAAAGTATTTTTTACAAAAGAGTTGAACACTTGTATCTGCAAAAATCTCTAGACCAACAGCTTGAACAGGAGCAGTTTTAGCAAGCCAAGCACTTCATTTACGAAGTGAAATTTGTGGAAAACAGAAGAAACGAAACAATTATCCCTGGTCAAGGAAGGATTAAGATAAATGAGTAATTGAGACAGCGCTATCTCACAGCAACATTTTCCTGTTTCTTTGTACTCCCCCTTTTTTAAAATGATTATTCACATTGGACGCGACGAAACCTGTCGCCTGGGAGTCTCCACTGCCGATAAGGCTCATCCTTGGTGATTATAAATACGCCGCCAGGGTCCGGCGGTCCTCACAGTGCACACCACGCCTCAACATGAGCACCATCGCGGTCCTCTTCGTCGTGCTGGCCGCGAGCGGAGCCACTCTGGCCTTACCTTGGCCCGGGAGTCGCGGTGAGTGAGCATTATTGGTAACGGAGTGGAGCGAGCTCTGCGAGGGGGCCTCCACCATCCAACTCGTTGAACACTTGCTCGCGCTCAATGCGCGTCCACCTCGCGTCTAAATCGGGAAAACTCGCGAACACGTGCGCCAAGTATGCGTAAAAATTGCGTCAAAACGAACACCTATTTTGGGATATCGGACCCCTCGGAGCTCTGCGTGTTATTGTTCAGCCTGATAAAGCTCGTCTGCATTCATGTTGGACCTCAAAGTGATTGTGTTTCTCACACAGACGGCCTGCTCCGGGGCGGCGAGGTCCCCAAGGTGAAAGCAGTAGTTCTTGGCGTCCTGCTTGAGGGCAGTGAGAGCAACGGCCGGGCCTCCGACGACGAGACAAAAGATGACCTTCAGGGGTTGAAAGCCCTGCTCAATGAAGTCCAGAACAGCCTGATGGAGGATGCGCCCAGCAGTATGGACGACCTACAGGGCCTCGACGGCCTGCAGGG